CAGCAAATCACGACCCCTGCCTCTGCTCCCAATTCACAACAACCTTCCCAGGAGCGACCATCTCCTACACATATACAGATACCGCCAGCTGATCCTTTTGCCACCAATCCCAACAACACCCCACTTTCTACGAGTTCGGCCCCTTGGCCGGCACCAGTGACAGCTCCAGCTGCAATTTCAGGTGCAGAGACGAGTGGAACGAGCAGCACCGGTAGTGTCGTAGTGACAGAAAGACATGAGGTGGTAACCGTACAGGTATCCCAGATTCATGGAGATGGTCGCTCCTGGGAAGGTTGTTGTGAATTGGGAGCAGAGGCAGGGGTCGTGATTTGCTGCTGCCCTTGTTGTTCTGCCATTGCAGCGGAAGTCTGGTCTTCAATAGACCCTGCTGCATCTCCGGTACCACGATTTCTCCTTCGGTAGAGTATATAAGTAAGACAGCACCAAAGCACAATCACGGCGAGCATGATAACTATGGAAAGTATGGTCAGTACAAAATGTGCAATTGTAGGGAGCAGCATGGAGAACGATAGAGAGCTGGATCTATAAGGAGCTTGGTTGGGCCATACTCACCACCCATGACGCCTATGACGAGTCGTATGATACCGGCAGAATCTGCGCGCTTCACTAATTGGTGTGTGGGTGTTAGTGCCCCCGCAATAGCGGACCTAGAATCTTGACGAGGTATTATTTGATACATGTGTCGATTATTATGAATATTTGGTCAACGAGTGTGTATGCAACGCGCAGAGACGGTCGCGAGGCGGAAAGGAGAGGAAGGGCGGGTGAAAAAGTGCCAAGGAGGATAGGCGATCCAGATTACCTTTATATAGAAAGACATGTGCTATCGACGGCAATTGTGATGTTGTCTCCGTCTCCGTTAGCCGGGAAATCGCTGTTGACAGGTCCGTACCTGAGTGCCAAGACTTTACGATGTTGACTCACTAACTAGCGTACAGCCTGAACTTTTATGCAAGACTTGAAACCCAGAAGGAATTTTATGTAGTAGGATATATGGACCAGTAGCTTGTGATGGTCACTAATGGAGCCGTCGACGGGGTGACTTGATCCGGAGGTTGTGAGCTTTCGTTTCCTGTTACCTGTGAATTTGAAGATAGATGGTCGGAGATGGTCGGGAAATGATGCCTAAATATTGAGTGTAGCGGGAAATTCCACGCTTCTAACAGGTTATCTTGGTTGGTAGCAGCTTAGTCTATTATGGGATGGGCCTGAGCTCGCGTATATGTACAGTTACGACAGTATTCAACCTCTAACGGATCGATCAATCGCATTTCGATGGAAAAAAAATAGCTCATACCTTTTGTTTCCTTCTTCGCAGAACGTTATTGTACATCTCATTCAACGAGTGAAATTGTCCCTAACATCTCTTTTGCCTTGTCGTCTCGAGGAATGAACCGGCACTCGAAACCAATAGGTTGCCTGTGGCATTTAGTTAGCCCTCGGGCAGCCTTGAAGAAAGAATCTTACTGAATGAACGTGTCTGGGTATTCGAGGCTCTTGCGGTCAGGTATCTCCTTGCCTTCTAAGGGAACTACCTTGAACATGGAGATAGTCGCAACCATCAGGTGGAAAGCTAGTCGATCAGCTAAGTACATCCCCGGACATACTCTATGGGTGGGTGAGCATCATCTTCTGATTCAATTATGGGGGAGGCGGCACCCAGAAATGGTAAGGGAGTAGGACATACCGCATGCCATAACCGAAAATAACAACTAGTGGGTTTGGTTTCTGTTCCGCATCCGCTTCTAAAAATCTTTCAGGCCTAAAAACTTCCGGATCTCCCCATACTTTGGGATCATTGAACATGGCACTGGATAAAAAAATTTAGATGGGTCAACCGGTTGGAATAAAACGCACCCATGATTTTGATGAATCACGCTTCCTTTTGGTATGAGGTATCCCCTGAGGATTTCATCTTGGCTACAGACATGCGGTATAGCTAAAGCAACCAGACCGTTCAGATCAAGGTAGGAATTATTATAGTAATACGGCTTACCAAGAGGCATAAAAGTATGTATGCGGAGCGATTCCTTGAAAACTGCCTCAGAATATGGCAGATGGGCTCGATCAGCAATCGTTGGCAGCCGTTGACCATGTGTGACCGAATGAACTTCCTCAAATACGCGTTCAGCAATTTCTGGATATAGCAGAGCTGCATGAAGGAAATTCAAGATCGCTCCTGCCGTCTTTATTAGAAGCCATCAGCCACTAATCCCGACCAAGAATGATAAAGGGATATACCGTGTCTAAAGCGGCTGTAACGATAAATGTTATTTCTGCTGTGTAAGAAATCGAGTTATCACTTACCCGTGTATAGGACTGAGGTTGCGTCCCGCACGTCTCCGTTTTCGCCAAATTCATCCAAAAGGTCGCGGAGCATGCAATGCCCCAATCTATCAGATTTCTGTAGGATATTGGGTCGTTAATTGAAGGAGATTGTACAGAGGAGCGCTAACTGACGTATAGCTCTAGCCCTCTTGCATACGCCTCGTACCGCAGTTTTGTTGTGACCTCATTGGATTCTCGACAGAGTTGCCTTCGAGGTATCAGTCCAGATTAATTAGCTCACTATGGATAATGAACTTACTTGAACCGCAATCCTGGGACCCAATCGGGAATAAAGCGCACTGGTAACCAGGCTCATAAGCTCCCCTTGATACAACGGTATGTCAAACGACATTGGCGATATTATTATGGTTTCTCATACA